TGTATTAATTAATGGTGTTTGTTTATTACGACATTACAATTAAATCTGTTTTCCGTGTTTAAGAACTTGCGTGTATTTTAGCTTATTTTCGTAGAGGTTTAATTATTTATTACCAATTAAACTAAATTTTGAATATTTTTCATATTCTATTATTTTCTTTTATACTGATGGCATTTATATTTAAGATCGAAATCATAAACATTTAACTGGCCATTGTACAGTTTAATAAAAAACACTTTTTCATGATTTTTTAATTGTCTTTTAATTACTTTGGGCTAGTTATCTGTTAAAAGTGGAATTGATAAAAAAATAACATTTACTGTATGATAGACACTGACATTTTGAAATACGGCAGTGTACCATTATTTTGTCGTACAAGGTTGGCAACGCTCCGAGCAGTGGGCGCGGCCGGGTTAGCGACTTCCAGAGTTAGCGAATTCCGCCGCGAGACAAAATCGAGTTAGCGGGTTCCGGAGTTAGCCAATTCCTGACTGAGACAGTTAGCCAGTTCCAGAGTTAGCCAGTTCCGCCACACGACCGAGTTAGTGAGTTCCTGAGTTAGCCAATTCCTACGTCTCCTTCAAGCTGTGCTGATACTTGTATAAAATCAACTATTTCTTCCTTTAAAATATCTTCAAGTTTTTTAACTGTCACAGTAAATGTCCTTCGAATAGCTGATCTTGATTTCTTTAGTTTTGTTAGTTCAGCCATGTTTTCCAATTCACTGTTTCAGTAATCAGTGTTCAATAAAACAGGGTCAAATTTACTCGTTATCAAGTCCTGTCACGGTCGCCATATTTTACAACTTAGGGGAAATTCCTTAAAAAATATTAAATATTCCCTTCAGGTTCTAACGAGTAATTAAAATAAGAAACCTCTTTTATTCACTTACTTATTCTTAAAAAATCATAACATCACTACTACTCTGTTTTGTTTACAAATCAGAAGAATAATTCAAACATATGAACATATGTTAGTTCCACATTGTACAGTAATTAATGAAACCAAAGTCTTTTAAATTGTGGGTATGAAAGCAAAGTCTATTAAATTCAATTCGTAACACTTGGAGTCTTCTTCGCTCGCTTAATGTCTTCTTTGCAGGTCTTACAAATCCACTCTACAGTATCCTTAATGTCATCAATCTTAAGATAATTTTCTTGAGAAACATTCACACAAGAAATATGGAACCATTTTTCGCAGTTCCCGTCACAAAATAATGCATCTTCAGTATCTAAAACATCATTTTTACACACACCACAAGTAACCTTTTTCTTCCCTCTCGCCATGTTGCTACGTCATTGCTATCGATAGGTATCGAGAGTACTTTGGTGGTATCGGTATCGGTATTGACAATTTTTGGTATCGGCCCATCTCTACTGCTGAGCCTATGTTATTCATATTAGACATATTATTATTTATACATAATTTGCCTCCAGGATTGATTTATTGAGATAAAATGAGGTTACTAACCTGTTGTAAATCAGTCCTATATTGTCGTGGATGACTATAGTTTCAGGGTAAAACCCCATTTTCAAATCTTCTCTTCAGTCGTCATATGTCAAACATATTCTCTTTCACAAGCCGTCATAAATAATAATACAGTAGAGTCCCGCAAACTTGGCGTAATGTGGACTGGAAGGGTGCCGAGTTTGTGAAATGCCGGGTTATCAGGAACAAGGGCTTAAAATAAGAAAAATACAATTTTTAAGCTTTTTAACCGCCTTTTTTATTTATATTTATATTGCAAGTCAATATTAAGTCATAAGATATAGTACGACAAATCCTTGGTATGGGTTGCGAATGATTTGACTTGTGCTGGCTTCAGTCCATTTTTAACTCGGACTCAAAAAATCACTAATTTTCTGAGCCAGGTGATGGCCGAATTATCCAGACTGCCGGGTTATGGAGAGCCGAGTTTGCGGGACTCTACTGTACATAATCATACATAATAATAAAATTTTATTATTAACCTCTATTTTTTGTAACCTTAAACAGGTTACAACGTTACAGGTTACTTACGGGAGGTATAAGTGAGGCAACGATGACATCTTAGTTTAGTTCAAAATTCCTCCGTGAACAGCATTGTAGTAGGGAGCACAGCGCGTAATTTTTACTTCACTATTAGGCCTAGTTAATTATAAAATTAAGAAAAATTATAAAATTAATCTTATACGGAGCCACCTGACACACTGCCAATCTGTCAATGGCTGCATGGAGATGTTTTTTTGTGGAGCGCATCATTTCAAGGAACGCTAACGTTGTTTGGCCCCCACAAGCTCCAGACCTCTCAGTGTGCGACTTCTTTCTATGGGGACATCTAAAGAGCGTTGTATACCTGACTAGGCCAAGAAATCTTATTGAGCTCAAGACTCAGATCGAAGAACACGTCGCCAACATCCCAGAGGACACATCGCGTCGCACAATACTAAGTCTTCAAAAACGATCAAATGAATAGGCCCAAAAAACAGCACTTAACTGATGTGATTTGTAAAATGTGATTTTTTAACTTTATACTCCTACTAACTGTACCCGCAGGCTTTGCCCCGTTTAACTTTATAAGTGAGCTCGTTCGCATGGCTCAATCACGTCCTGGTTGAAGTTCGTTCGCTACGCTCACTCAGTTTTAGGTTGGAGCTCGTTCGCTGCGCTCACTTGCATTCAGGTTAGCTCGTTCGCTACGCTAACTTGCCTCCAGGTTGAAGTTCGTTCGCTACGCACACTCACCTTTTGGTTGCAAATTAGCTGTTGTCATAACTGTAAAAGAAATAATAGTGCTGCACCCTGTTGGTAATCCTTGTAACTTTAATGCTATTGAACATCATAGAACAGAACCAACTTGTTTAATTGAAACAGCTGTTAAGATTCATTAATTCCATTTAAATATGAGTACTCATAAGGTTAACATGGGAAACTCCAGAGCCACTGGGGCGGAGCCCGAGAGTCCGATCAGAATAAAAACAGCTTAGTTTTCCTATTTAATGCCTAAAGAATCAGTGTACCAAATTTCAGCCTCCTAGGTAAATGGGAAGTAAGAGAATTAGTGATGACTGAGTGAGTGAGTCAGTGAGGGCTTTGCCTTTTATATATATAGACTAGCAGTACCCGCGGGCTTTGCCCCGTTTAACTTCTTAATTTTCAAGATGAGCTCGTTCGCATGGCTCAATCACGTCCTGGTTGAAGTTCGTTCGCTACGCTCACTCACCTTTAGGTTAGAGCTTGTTCGCTGCGCTCACTTGCCTTCAGGTTAGCTCGTTCGCTTTGCTAACTCGCCTCCAGGTTGAAGTTCGTTCGCTACGCTCACTCACCTTTTGGTTGCAAATTAGCTGTTGTCATAAATTAAAAAAAATCTTTAATGCTATTGAACATCATAGAACAGAACCAACTTGTTTAATTGAAACAGCTGTTAAGATTCATTAATTCTTTTTAAATATGAAAAATCATAAGGTTAACATCGGAAACTCCAGGGCCACTGGGGCGGAGCCCGAAAGCCCGATCAGAATAAAAACTACTTAGTTTTCCTATTTAATGCCCAAAGAATCGGTGTACCGAATTTCAGCCTCCTAGGTAAATGGGAAGTGGGAGAATTAGTGATGAGTGAGTGAGTGAAGGAGTGAGTCAGTCAGTGAATCAGTGAGGGCTTTGCCTTTTATAAGTATAGATTTCCAGTTTTCTTATGTATTTTCCACACCAGCCCAACACATTTTCACCATTAAAGATTCTTTGTACAATTTTCTTGGTTTAGGTATTATGATTATTTCAAAATGTGCCTAATGGTTACGGAGAAAATTCCAAAATATTGTAAATTCAAAATTTTTATGTTATTTTTTGGAGAATAAGTAACTCAGTTGTAGTTTGCTTGTTTATGAACATATTTTGATCAAATTTGGAAAATGCATTTATTTCAAAGAAATGTATAAATAATGCATTTTGTCAAAGCTCTTATTCTTGAAAAAAAGGTTTCTGATCTCACGCACCATTAGTTCTTTCTACTAAATGTTGTTCCTTGTCTTCCCATTTAACACTAGCCAACAATCTCGCAATTAGTTCTTCTTCATCCATTTTATAATGTCGCTAAATAAGGTTAAAAACACAAGGGCGCACCCGGAACTAGGCTCCGGGAAACCCCGTTGCATCACAGGGCGCTCACGGAAGCTACTTCCAGTAGTGACGCAAACCACTACCCAAGGTCGGCTGACAACTGGGAAAGGGGTAAGAGTATACAAAACCGACTCAGCAAAAGAGGTTCGTGAGGTAAATCAGACCACAGCCCTGCTAGACACATACTATGGTTTTTATAACGAAAAAAGTAGTTACCCGGAAATAACCTCCGTGATGCGCCCGATGGAAGGTTAAATAAGGAATAAATGTGATATTTTTAAGGAGACATTTTAATTTTAATCCAATCAGGCAAATGGAAATTCGCTTAGTCAAAAGGTTTGCTGCAGCGGGGGTATTTATAATATACTGTAGTATAAAGTTTTGTGTTTCTTGTGCCATTTTGGACTCTTGGAACCATACTATATACATGTACGCTTGTCATCCTCACTAAAAATCCTAAAAACATAGGCCCTAGTGCTATATCTTACATCCTTAACCCCAGTTACGGATACGTTATCTTTTTGACTTTCCTGAATGAAATGTAAGTTCCAAGTTTTTAGTGAAGAGACACTTTATTTAAATTAACTTAAACTTATTTTATTACTCGAGAATAGGTGTGAGAAAGGATAGGATAAGCAGGCTTACCTTAAAAAATGTAGGCATCCCACTTCATTCAACCTGAATGAAGTGGGATGCCTACATTTTACATTTTACAAGTGGGATGTCAGGTTGAATGAAGTGGGATGCCTACATTTTTTAAGGTAAGCCTGCTTATCCTATCCTTTCTCACACCTATTCTCAGGCAATTAGCCCTTTCTCTCCAAACCTTATTTTATTACTCATTAGTCCTTTGATAGCTATCCTCTTAACAGCCTTTGTGAATAAACTAATGCATGTTGCAGGAGAAGGCCACTAAGTGGGAGGAGGGCAGAGAGATTGATGGTTTGACCACCAACGGTGTGCTTGTCATGCATCCCCAAGGCAAGTTCTGTGGGGGAGATTCAGAGCCGGGGATGTGGAGAGAGGTATCTGTTGGAGGTGGAATATTCACACTTAGAGAATCTCGGTCTGCTCAAGTCAAGGGGGCTGAAGTAAGTATTAGTATATAATACTGTCCGCTAGTGATGGATTGGTACCACTTTTTCAATGTCGGTACCGGTACCGGTTCTTAACCAAAATCTGTTCTTGGTACCTCATTTTTAAATTAGGCTACAAAATATCCCTATTTCAATTTTTAAAACTGATTATTCTCAGGGTTCCCACTAAACCGTTAGAACCTTAAAACAAAATTACAACGTGTACAAAATGATTGGGTTCGAAGGCGTGATGACCACGTCACACCCTTTAATTGTAGCTACATCTTCCAGTTGCTTGTTTTAATCTTTGGTTACATTAGGAAATTCTACTCTAAATTAACTTTGTGTTATTGTCTCCTAATTTTGTACATATTAACTTTTAAATTATGTTTTTATTTAATATATAATTATTTTAAAGAAATAGTCACCCAGTATTATTGTTTATCCTCAATATTACAGATAGCAGATTTAGAACTCTTTTTCCGCACACGGGCTATGCCTATGCGGAAAAATATATTTCTTTATAATTTATATCTGTGCATTGTAGGGGTCTGCGGTACAGAAAATTTAAGGTCGGTACGGTTCGGTACGGTACAATATTTTGTACCTCGGTTCTCGGTACAAAATCGGTACGGTACGCGGCTACCCGTATTTTTGCGGTTTTCTTCTCAGAACTGTATCTAAACCATTATTTTTAGCTTTAATACATAGACATTACTATGAAAATGGATAGTATCCTACATTCATGGTTTTCTAACAACAATTACTGTACCACATATTATTAAAACAAAACCTTTTACTGCTACGAGGATTGTGTCAAGAAAAATCACAGTTGAGATAAAGGCTTTACCTATTTTACTCTGAGATACTTTGAATAGCCATGATAAAGTAGTTTAAAAATAGGATAAGAGTTTTTATGAATAAACATGTTTGAAACATTTATTGACAAGATAATTTCACAAAACTGGTAAATTATTTCCAACCAACACAATGTCTAGTTGTTTTTTATTTTATTTTAAAAACATATAAAAGCATTCAGTAGAAGACAGTGTAGTTTTGCCAGCTGTTCACAGCAGATGACAATGAAAAACTGGAGGTTATGATGAAGTAATGGCAAAGACCATTTTTTTTATCAGCTTCAAAACTAGTTAAGTTATAAGATGGATACAATTCTTGCAAAGTTTTTTCTGAAACTAAAATTTGGATTATCACAGAGTAAGATTTGATGTTGGGCAATTAGACTTTATAACTGTGTAAAAGGTGTGTATCCCTGAATTTATAAATTGCATTCTACACTTATTCACTGCCAAATATAATTCAGTAGAACCTTGATGAACCGAGAATTACACTAGCCTACATAACTTCATTACCCCAAGTAAAATACCAAGATAATTTTTATAATTGTATTTGAATCGTATAATCTTAGTTTGTTAAAAATGGATTGTATGTTCAACAATAATTGCAGTCCATTATTGTTAAGCAGTATGGTCCCAAATTATTGTTTTTGATTTTGAAACATCACAGTTCATTTGACAAAATTATAGTTGAAGCAGCTCAATGTCAAGTCACGCTTGTGCAATAGTTTGTTTACATGCTTTCTCCAGACCACGGGGGAGGGGAGGGTCTGATAAGCCGTCTATTGTTCACCCCCAAGAAGGTCCGACCCTCATTAGTGCCGCTCGGCTGCACTCAGTGGGGAACCCAATACCACAAATCAATCTTTTAAATGAATACAAATATTTGGTAATAATTGTTCTATTAATATTCACCTTAAAATTTCAATAAATTTGGTGTAAAATTTGACAAAAATCTGCCATTTGGACCGATTATTAACAATACCAAATACCAATAAAGTAGTACATTCATCGGTAATTAAATAATAGGTAAAAATTTACCGATTTTTGTAAAGTTTTACCCCCTGCTGTGCGCTATGTCACAAAAGCTGATAACGACATGGGTGATTAGTAACCATGGCAACTTGTTGAATGCGTGATGAAGGGAAACCCAAGAAATAGAAGAACAAAGAGAAAGAATGGGTGATTAGTAACCATGGCAACTTGTTGAATGCGTGATGAAGGGAAACCCAAGAAATAGTAGAACAAAGAGAAAGAATAACGACGTTGTTATCTTTATACCCTTTTTACAATTTCCGTTATTGTTATCTTTATGTAAGATTTTATGATTTTGTTTTATAGGTTTATAAAATAATTCTTTTTAACTACGGGAATATCAATTTATAATTTATCAACGTGCTTCTCTTCTGAAACAGCAATACCGGATGCATAATAAAGGTCAATGGCCTAAAATATCACGATTGTGCAATATTGTATTTTGATGTTGAAATTAAAATCACGACAAAAGTTTTTATATATCCATGGTCGTCAATAGAAAGATAAAATATCCATAACAAATATTTTAATTTATAAAATAAGATTGTAGATTAGTTACAAGTTTAATATGTAGCCATAAACAGTTTTATGGCAGTAGGCAATGGCCAGCGGCAAATTCAATATTCATGAAAATACTGATTAAGTTAGAGATAACATTTAACAGTCATCATAAAACTATTATTTTTATGATAAAACAGAATTGGGGAAAGTCGTAAAGAAATAAAAGTGATAAAACTCAACAGTTCTTGGAAGTACTTCAATACAACAATTATTGTCGTGATAAAATGTTAATGGATTTGGGACTGCTAATGGGTTTTTTATTGCATCATCACGCTAGTAATAAATTATGAAGATCGTAAACAAACATCTGATAAGACTTTTATGTGCTCGGAACCAACTGCCGTTGACTACGATAGTAAACTGAAAGTAATTTATTATTATAATAGGCTGAACCGATGACGGTAATTAAGCTTGTACCGTACCGACTTTTTCGGTGCACCGCAGACCCCTAGTGCATTGTATTGTTTAAATTTTGGAAATAAACAATTTGATTTGATTTGATTTATTACAGTAATGAATCAATTTTGAAATTAGAGGACATCAGAAAAATACGAATACATTCCATTACTCATTCAGTCATCAATCTTGGAATTCCAAATTATCTTGTAAAGAATTTTAAATTTTTGAACGGAAGAGGCGCAAGGGTATTGCTGGTATGCCGCTCTGGCTCGTCCACGCTTTGCATTCCTCAACACAGAACAACTTTTTATAATAAATCATTTTTATGATTTTAACAGCATGCCGCCTATGGAACTCCATACCTTTTCTCATCAAATCCATAGAAAACCGATCCCGACTGATGGTGGCGCTGAAAGAATATTACCTTGACCGGATGGCCGTGGCTTGGCGGGATGGCGTGCGTTAGGCCTAGATGCACCAGAACCCTCATTATAAAATATACCATGGATGAGCTGAAGTTAATTCTATGGTAGTTCCGTCTGGTGCATGTAGAATTATTTGATTCTCGTTACTTCAGTTTAAAACATCGTTTAACCAAATTGGACTGAGACGATCTAATCATAAACTATAACTCTTGCCGTAGGACCAAACTGTAAAGCTTGAATCATAAAATTAACCGTAAACTAAATTTCGACGACACTAGCGATCAGTGTCACCAACATGAACTAGACACGGGCTATGGTGTGGTCATCTCAGCAGACGCTATCCTTACCTACTGTCATTTGGCACCATGGCGAAGATAAGTTCGTATATACATTGATCTATTATTCTTCTGCTCAACCAGTTTATGTCCAGTACCATAAACACAACTATGTAACATAATTGCGCCTGTAAACAAACATTAAAACAAAAACAAAACAACTAGAATACAACAGCAAAAAAGGAACAAGGTTATAAAAACTTCACAACTACGAATATATTATTTATTGTTGAACTGACACAGCAGACTTCTCGATTCGATACCAGTTCGGAAATATTCACAATTTTCGAGATTTTTGTTATTTTCAAGAAAAATAACATAAAGTTGACCTTCAACACTAGCAACAGATTAAAAAATATATTAGCCTCAAAAACGACCGCAAAGGACATACATTGTAAAACTGGCATTTATAAACTGAAATGCGCTGAATGTCCTAGTATGTATGTTGGCCAAACAGGACGAAGTTTCAAAACAAGGTTTAAAGAGCACAGACCAGTTTCCAGCGTAACCAAACAAAAATCCACCTTCGCACAACATTTAATTGACTTCAATCATACAATGGGAAATATTGATGACATCTTGGAAATTCTACACACTTGCAGAAAAGGGAAAAAGATGGACACTCTAGAGGAGTATGAAATATACAAAAGTTTTAACAACGTTAACACCCGTGAGACTATACTAAAAACTACAGTTCAGTTCCCACACCATTTTTAATTCACTCATCAATAACTCCGTCCATCCTACAACAGCTGATCCTTGCCCAATATCTCTTTCTCTCTCACACAACTGCTAAGCATAAGCTGGTCTAGTCTGTCCCTTGCTACCAGTGCGGTCGGTCATCTTTGTTAGAACAGGCCTGTTTTTTTAAATGTTTAATTGTTTTATGTATTTATTCGTGTCCGTACTGTGTTTATCTTCTGACGATGTTAACAACTGATCAACTCTACACTATGTACCTGAAGCTGACGATGGTGTTTTAACACTGAAACATGTCCTGAATAGACATATTTTATTGAGCTGTGACGGGAATTACGTAAGTAATTTAGTCTTACATTAAATTCTGAATCAGACAACTGGCGTAGTTCATGCCTGCCCAAAATTATCGTGCGCTCTCAGTTATCCTATCCAAGTCTGATAAGTAAACGTAATCAGGGAACCTCTCTTGCTTTTTACAAAACGGTATAGTCTTAGACTGAAAACATCCAAATTGAGTTATCACTGGCACGGCAACTCTGCTAGAATAGAAAATCGACTCGCTGTAAAATGTTGTTATGTGGGTACCACTAAAAGAATCAACCAGCTCATTGGCTGTTGACTTAATTGCAATCTCACAATCTCCTAGTTCCAAAGTACTATTCCTCTAGTACAAAAGGCGGCAAACGTCTCGCTATTCTCCCATTCGCAGCTCTCCCATTTTATAGGTCCATTTACTAACTTGATTAAATAGAGAGCCTTATGAAAGAACTTTTTGATTACATTTGCATTTTTTATAGATTTTTGCACAAACTAGATAATGCATCAAACAGATTGTCCTTGATAGCAAGGACACGCTAAACTTTTTATGTTTGGTGTTATTTTAAGAGACTTTGTATACAATATTTTTACCATTCACTATTTCACAAGAAAGTTAAGTAAAATAGTAAACTAATTTCAGGTTGAAGGTGTAAGCAATGTTCTTCAAGATGGAACATTAATAGATCTATGTGGTGCTACTCTTCTGTGGCGATCTGCTGAGGGGCTAGCCAATTCACCTGTAAGTATGCATCATTTACTTCTCTAGAACAATTTTTAAAACAAAAGAGAGTTCTGTGTTTTATTGAATTTTGCAAAGCACTACCTAATTAAAAATCATATTACCCTTCCCGGACTATAGGCCATAGTCCATAGTGTTATAGTTGATTATAAATAACAACATTAATCTTCGTAAAAACTGTTTTTTATTCAACCAACCGATATCTTAAATCGATGTACTAGAAATTTTTTTCTAGAAGAATAAAAAATGTAACAAATTTTTTTTTAAATAAAATAATCACCCAAAAATACAAAAAAAAAAACAACAAAATTTTGGACAAAAGTGCGGTATTTACTCAGGGGAGGTATAGATGAGCTTACGATGACAGCTGTGGGCTTCTCATTAGCTGAGGGAACACCATTACCGTCACAATACGGTTTGCAGCCGTCGGCCTCGGTGGTCTAGTGGTTAGCGTGCCGGGCTGATATGCTGAGAGTCCGGGGTTCGAATTCCGCTAGTGGCACTAGCTTTTTGACTAAGATTTTTTCATTATCAGCAAGTTTGGTTGGTTTGGTTCGGTTATGACAGTTTAATTTTATTATTAAGTCATTATAAAATTTTAATTGAGCAATTTCTAGTTTTATTTAATGAACAGAATTTTCTATTAATAAACTTTTTTTATATTATTTCATTATCAGCAAGTTTGGTTAGTTCGGTTAGGTTATGATAGTAATTTTATAATAAAAAAATTATAAAAATTGAATTTGAGGCATTTATAATTTTATTTTATGAACAGAACTATTTTTGCGATTAGTAAACCTACATTGCCAAAATGCTCTCTACTACAGCGCTGTTCACGGAGGAATTTTGAACTAATGCCTCAATCGTACCTCCTCTAAGTCAGACCCCAAAAGTGCTGCATAGGTGAACTATTTACAAGGGGCTATGAAAAATGGCCACTGTATTCCAGGCAGAAGTTGTTGCCCTGTCCGAGTGTGTTTGAAGCGTGGTCTTACAGGCCACACTGTATACATGAACTCAGACAGCAAAGCAGCACTAATGGCACTTGACACTTTTGACTTTACCTCCAAGGCTGTATGGGACTGTCATCAGGCCATGAAAGCCCTGGGAAATAACAACAGCATCATCCTTAGTTGGGTTCCAACAAAGGTATTGCTGGCAATGAGGGAGCTGACAAGTGGACAAACAAAGGAGCTGAAAGCCCGCTCATGAGCCCAGAGCCGACATGTGGCATTGCTTACAGCACAGCACGGAGACCTGTTCGCCAGTGGATGGGCATAAAACATCGAAGGAGCTGGGAAAGCACAGAAGGCGATACAGTCAAAGAGAATGCTGCAGGCACCTACTGGTGCGATAGCAGCAGATGCTGTTGGGCTGAGTAGGAAGACCCTGCGGAAGGAGGTTGGCTTTATTAGCGGACATTGGGTATTCCGTGGACATCTACACAAGATGGGAATTCAAGTTGAAAGCCTCTTATGTAGGAAATGTGGAGAGGAGGAGGAGACAGCATTCCACGTGATATTTATGAGCCCATCCCTACCAGGGCTAGAGATATACAAGGGCTAGGCCATGCGAGCTCAGAAAGTGATGCCAGGTGGCTCCCCACCACTCCGCCGCTGTGACGTCACGGCGATACCTCGGGTGCCCGGCACCGTATATCATTGCCTGTGTGAGCGCTGGTATTACTGCACATTTAGCGTTTATTAAGCTCTATGTTGGACATTTTTTATTAGGTATTAATGTATTTTATAAAAGTAATTAATTTTAAAATAGGATTACGTATAACATCAATTTTAATAAGTAACAAATTAACTTTAGTAGATATTTAAGGATGGGAGTGGAATGTAAAGCGATGGCTAAGAATACTGAAGTTATTGATTCAATGCATTAAGTTACTGTGTAATATCTGTGTTCGTATTGCTCGAATTGCTTAATGTATGGATTATTAATTGTATTTATTTATAACTTATTCATACCTTTTAGGATTCATTGAGGTTATACTGTATAAAATGAGGTTGTATAAAAATACATTACCTATACTTAGTATTTTGTAACTTTTATAGGAAGGAAAAGAATTTCAATTAATCAATTACATTTTATTATAGGCCCTACATATTTTATTACATTAAAATAACATATAGTTGGAAAAATACTTTAAGTTGCCTGACTAACTAACCTCAATCTCTGTTGACCAATAACTAACAAGTCGGGTTTTGGTGTGATTTTACTTTATCAGTTTACATCGTGAATATACGTTGTAAATGTTTAGTTACAATATTATTTATTGTGCCTCGACTGTAATGTGACATTACTTTTAGAAACTTGAGACACTATTTTTTAGTCAGTTTTTGTGAACTTCATTGACTGTTTACCAACAACGAATATCGCGGGTTTGAATTTATCACTTTATCGTATTTATTATTTGTAAAAATTGTACTTGTTTGGTTTATAAACTGTTTTATGTCGATATACTTACTTAATTTGAGGTCTGGGACATTACATTTAGCCCGTTTTTGAAACATTTCGTCATAATTAACAAACGATTTAATCGCCAAATGAAAAAGGGCACAGCAGCATTTTATAGAAAAAAAACTAAAATATTTACTTTAGTATATTTGCCTTTATAACTATGTATATTCATGTATGGGAATAAGTTCACTTTCATTTTATGTAGTTGGTTTGTGGGGTTTTAAAAATAATGTATACGTGTAAATAACAAAATGTTTTTCTAGACAAATATAAACATTTATTAAAAGTCATAAACATCTATTGAAATGATCAGTATACATAAAAAGTTCTAACTTCATTTGATCTCCAATATTATTGCCTAAAAATGTTTACTTTTACTTTATCTCTTGATAATACATCTATTCTGTTTTATTTGAAATTTGTTGTGCAAAATCGTGAAAATTGCCGTTCTATTATTTTTGGGCCATAACTTTGTATATATGGTAATTGGAATCTTTTTACATTTCCATGTAGGGAAATAAATTCCAAACAATTTGTATATCTTATGAAACATGTTTGGTTCATGCAGCAATTTTTCTACCTACTGACAATATTTTCTACAATATTTTTAATATTAATCTTGTTTCCATTTTCAAATTCTTCATTTCATTACGAACACTTCAAGTTGGAAATAATAAATACGGTTCATAGGTTTGATCTGTTGGATTAGTTTATATGAATTTTCGAAAATATGACTGCAAAATCGCCAAAAATGCCTTGCCACTACAGAGTTTTCCCATTGCAAGTTGGAGGGTTAACGAAACCCGCTTTAAAAATCACACTATAAAGCTACATTATTATAAACACAATTATTAATATGCTGTGCTGCCGTGCTAGGCTACCGTCGCGCCGATGTATCTCCGCTCCGTCACTGAGGAGGGGCGGGGGAGGGGAAGTAGGATCAGGCGGCGACCGCTAACATCAAAGGAGTGAGCCAGCCCTTGTATATCTCTAGCCCTGCATCCCTACAAGGTCTGCGCATGAGATCCCTTGGCCTATGGACTGGAGATCGAAGGGAAGAACGGGTCACCATAGTCAAAAGGATCTCATGGTTCACAAAGGGCCTGGGATTTGACAAAGAATGAGTACCTGTGAATGAGGGTGCACAATAAGCTGTTCCAGCTGCGCTGCAATCCCATAATTACTTGTAAGTAGAGGTCTGCGGGTACCCGACCCGGACTTGAAAATCAGGTAATTTTGCACTACCCGAAGTTTCGGGCGGGTAGAAGAAATACCCGAATTTATTTCAAGCGGGTAATCCGGTAACCTATTATTGAAAATTTTAATGTTTAATTACACAATTTTCAGCTTTAAATGAAGATATTTTAATATTAAAATAAATAAAACCAAAATTGTGTGCTAAAAACTTTCCTATCCCCATATTTCAACACCATCCAGTGACTGCCAACTACTGACTAAATCATTTAAACATTATTGCCACCAGGACTGATGTAGAAAGATATGATAGGTTTATTTTAGGACTGACGACGGAATAAAAAAGGTACGTAACCTATCATATCTGACTAAATCAGTCAAATAAATGTTCTTCCATTCCTTATTTTTGGCTACATCAATATCGTCGTCGTCTGCTTGCTGGCACACCGTCTGCATTACATTAAGTACTATAGCACAATTAATTATTATCATATATAAAACTCAACTGGACAGTCACTGTCAAGAATGTTGGTATGGGACAAGAATATCATTAACTTAGCAAGAAATGCATCATCTGTGTGTGAATAATTACAAAAATTATACCTCTCTATTGTCAGAGCAGACACTACAATAAGTATTATCACAACTGCAAAGCTTCATGGTTGACAAGCATGACTAACTTTTAAGAGGATTATACTTCAGCTGAGCGTTGGCGTTCGGGCTTAGGGTCGGGCCCTGTCAGATTTAAGAGTTACAGTGTAGTTTTATCTGTTCATGACAAATTAATTATGGGTTAGAGTTACCTGTAAGGGAATTTGTACACTATTTACAAAAAGTCTCTGAAGTGCTTAGTCTATATTGGGGATAAATATAATAGAGGGTGGTTGACAGTCTAAAGATGCAACAATATCAAATTTAAGTAGGCCTAGGCCTAACTTAGCCTAAAGACACAGAGGTTTTATTTTGCCTCTGTGTAAAGTAGTAAAGTAAGGGTCTACTAACTTGCAATAGGCTATGTCAAAATATTAAGTTATTAAGTTTGTGTTTAATCTTGTGTTCAAATACTGATAGGTAAAATATTTCTAAGAGCAGACATGAAACATTAATTTGTTTGCTGAAATATCAATAAAAACCCGAAAAATACTCGAAAATTGAATTTTGGTAATTTTGAGCCCGACCCGAAAATTACCCGGACTTTGATCTTTTCAGTACCCGACCCGAACCTAATATTTCACTACCCGCAGACCCCTACTTGTAAGCCTTGTCCCTCTATAAAAAAAAAAAAAAAAAAAAAAAAAAACTATTTACAACATTCTAAAACTACAGATTTAAAAAAG